GAGGGGAGAGTTAGTGTACTGTACATTGTGCTGTACAGTGTACTGTCGATGTACAGTGTTGCAAGGGGAGGTTAGCGGTGCTGTACATAAAAATTGTTCAACTAAAAACAAAAAAATATCGATATCTCACGGTTAAAGTAACGGCGGAAAACGAATGAAAGCGGCAACGGAAAGTGCAAGAAATTCAAACAAAATTTAGGAACCACCTCGGCTTCGGCCGAAGAGTCGCTACAGTCGCTTAAGTTATTCTGGGTCTGCTCGGCCACCCGATCTAAATCAGCTTCTGGTTAGAATCTAATTTCCACCTTAATAGTGCCCTGATAATATGACATGTGTGTCCAGAGGCTGTGCTTCAAGCCCGGCCGAGGCTGACATTAGCGGCTGCTTTACGCGCGCCCCGAGTCCTGGGCGGCACCTGATGCAGAGTCCGGCCAGCATCTAAACTTTGTTATAAAGGCCCCCAGGAGGAGGAGGAGGCCCCCAGGAGGGGGAGGTACTCACGGAGGGGCGGGAGGAGGGGCCAGACGGAAGATGTGCACGGTGGGGGAGGAGGAGGAGGCCCCCAGGAGGGAGGCGTCCCCACTGAAGGCGAGGCTGTGGATGGTCACGCTGCGGGTCATCCCCCTTCGCAGCTCCCACAGCTTCTCCCCCGCTGCCTCCCCCAGCACAGAGAACACCCGCACCACCGTCCCCTTCACCGACGCCGTCGCCAGCTGGGGGAGCAAGGGGATTAGTAATGTGGGGAGGAGGGGGAGTGTGGGGAAAAGAAAGAGGAGAAAAATTAATGGGTCAAGTTGTCCAATCAGTGAAAGACGTTCTGCACGTATGACCCACCACCTCATTCAGCATGACTCACCACCTCATTCAGCATGACCCACCACCTCATTCAGCATGACCCACCTCATTCAGCATGACCCACCACCTCATTCAGCATGACCCACCTCATTCAGCATGACCCACCTCATTCAGCATGACCCACCTCNCCATGACCCACTCTATGACCCACTTTACCCCCAATGACCCACTTTTCCCCCATGACCCACTTTCCCCCCCTGACCCACCAGGGCGACGGCGTGGAAAACCTGCACGACGCCGTGGGTGGTGGAGGCGGGGTAGGCGAGGTGGGCGTTGGTGGGGGAGTTGGCGAGGGCGCATAACCCCGCGGGGTTGTGGGGAGTGTCAGTGATGGTGTGCACCAACTCCATGTCCTTCACCACGTGCACGGAGAGCTTGTCTTCACACACCACAACCAGCCTCTGCACAAACATGGTAGTGATGTTAGTGATGGTGTAGGACATGTTAGTGATGTCGGTGGTATTTTAAATTAAAGGAAGAAACAGGCAACCCGGCAAGGGTTGCCATGTCGTCTTTACAGGCGCGTATATATAAGGCGCGGCAGCGGGATAGGCTCAGTGCGAGCGTGGGTGCGGCGGGGGGCGGGTGTCGGGGCCCACCACCACCCCCAATGACCCACTTTTCTCCCATGACCCACTTTCCATGCTGTGCTGGTGATGGTGTAGGACATGTTAGTGATGTAGATGGCCTCTCTCACCTCCCTGTTAAGCAGCACATTAAGAATGATGGTGATGAGAGTATGACAACTTCAGGCCCGGCCGAGGCTGAAATTAGCGGCTGATTTACGCGCGCCCCGAGTCTTGGGCGGCGCCTGATGCAGAGTCCGGCCTGCGTCTAAATTTTGTTAGGCACCCCCTGATGTAGGTGGCCTCTCATGGCCTCTCTCACCTCCCTGTTAAGCAGCACATTAAGGATGCTGGTGATGTAGGTGGCCTCTCATGGCCTCTTATGGCCTCTCACCTCCCTGTTAAGCAGCACATTAAGGATGCTGGTGATGTAGGTATAGGAGCAGATGTGGCTGTTCTTCTTGAAGTGATTGAGGCACAATTTCCTGGGGTGGTCCTCACTCACGACGGCCACCAGTGAGGACACGTAGAGGCGCTGCACCACCACGCAGTTGCTCACGCAGCACTGGCCTCTCGTGCCTGTGGGAGGACACAGGGATATAGTAGCCTCTTATGGCCGCTAAGGGATATAGTGGCCTCTAGTGGCCTCAGGGATACAGTGGCCTCTAATGGCCTCTCAGGGATACAGGGGCCTCTAGTGGCCTCTCAGGGATACACTAGCCTCAAGGCTACACTAGCCTCAGGGCTACACTAGCCTCAGGGCTACACTAGCCTCAGGGCTACACTAGCCTCAGGGCTACACTAGCCTCAGNACATACTCCTGTCAACTTATGGCAACATACTCCTGTCAACTTATAGCAACACATACTCATGTCAACTCATGGCAACACATACTCATGTCAACTCATGGCAACACATTCTCCTGTCAACTCATGGCAACATACTCCTGTCAACTTATAGCAACATACTCCTGTCAACTTATGGCAACATACTCCTGTCAACTTATAGCAACACATACTCATGTCAACTCATGGCAACACATACTCATGTCAACTCATGGCAACACATTCTCCTGTCAACTCATGGCAACATACTCCTGTCAACTTATAGCAACATACTCCTGTCAACTTATGGCAACATACTCCTGTCAACTTATAGCAACACATACTCATGTCAACTCATGGCAACACATACTCATGTCAACTCATGGCAACACATTCTCCTGTCAACTCATGGCAACATACTCCTGTCAACTTATAGCAACATACTCCTGTCAACTTATGGCAACATACTCCTGTCAACTTATAGCAACACATACTCATGTCAACTCATGGCAACACATACTCATGTCAACTCATGGCAACACATTCTCCTGTCAACTCATGGCAACATACTCCTGTCAACTTATAGCAACATACTCCTGTCAACTTATGGCAACATACTCCTGTCAACTTATAGCAACACATACTCATGTCAACTCATGGCAACACATACTCATGTCAACTCATGGCAACACATTCTCCTGTCAACTCATGGCAACATACTCCTGTCAACTTATAGCAACATACTCCTGTCAACTTATGGCAACATACTCCTGTCAACTTATAGCAACACATACTCATGTCAACTCATGGCAACACATACTCATGTCAACTCATGGCAACACATTCTCCTGTCAACTCATGGCAACATACTCCTGTCAACTTATAGCAACATACTCCTGTCAACTTATGGCAACATACTCCTGTCAACTTATAGCAACACATACTCATGTCAACTCATGGCAACACATACTCATGTCAACTCATGGCAACACATTCTCCTGTCAACTCATGGCAACATACTCCTGTCAACTTATAGCAACATACTCCTGTCAACTTATGGCAACATACTCCTGTCAACTTATAGCAACACATACTCATGTCAACTCATGGCAACACATACTCATGTCAACTCATGGCAACACATTCTCCTGTCAACTCATGGCAACATACTCCTGTCAACTTATAGCAACATACTCCTGTCAACTTATGGCAACATACTCCTGTCAACTTATAGCAACACATACTCATGTCAACTCATGGCAACACATACTCATGTCAACTCATGGCAACACATTCTCCTGTCAACTCATGGCAACATACTCCTGTCAACTTATAGCAACATACTCCTGTCAACTTATGGCAACATACTCCTGTCAACTTATAGCAACACATACTCATGTCAACTCATGGCAACACATACTCATGTCAACTCATGGCAACACATTCTCCTGTCAACTCATGGCAACATACTCCTGTCAACTTATAGCAACATACTCCTGTCAACTTATGGCAACATACTCCTGTCAACTTATAGCAACACATATTCATGTCAACTCATGGCAACACATACTCCTGTCAACTCATGGCAACACATACTCCTGTCAACTGATGGCAACACATACTCATGTCAACTCATGGCAACACATACTCATGTCAACTCATGGCAACACATACTCATGTTAACTCATGGCAACACATACTCCTGTCAATTATGGCAACACATACTCCTGTCAACTTATGGCAACACATACTCCTGTCAACTTATAGCAACACATACTCATGTCAACTTATGGCAACACATACTCATGTCAACTCATGGCAACACATACTCCTGTCAACTTATGGCAACACATACTCATGTCAACTTATGGAAACATCAAGTTGCTAATAACAATAGTCGATAAGAACAACACATAATAACAATAACATAGTTCTGTCCCTCACTCCATAAATCCTCATAAAGCCCCTCCATAAATTCTCAAAAATCCTCTCCATTAAATCCTCATAAATCCCCTCCATAAATCCTCATAAAGCCCCTGCATAAATTCTCATAAATCACCTCCATAAATAATCATAAATCCCATCCATAAATCCTAAAAATCCCCTCCATAAAATCCCATAAATCCCCTCCATAAATCCTCATAAATTCCCTCCATAAATCATCATAAATCCCCTCCAAAAATTCCCATAAATCCCCATCCATAAATTTCCATAAATCTCATCTACAAATCCACAAATCTCTTCCATAAATACACATTCATAAATCCACATAAATCCACCTTCACCCACAACCGCAACCCCTAAGGCAGGTGGGCACCCACGTGAAGTCCTGGTTGAAGTTGGCGCAGCGGACGTCGTCGGGCGCCTCCTCCTCCTGCCCGCTGCTCAGCCCACCCAACTCTGCCTCAGAGCCCACCGTCGCTGACCTGTCACCCATGGTGGTGGGATGGTGGTGGTGGTGGTGGTGGTGGTGGTGGTGTGGTGGTGGTGGTGGTAGGGGTGATGGTAATTATTGGTCCTGGTGATAGTGATGGTAGTTATGATGGTAGCAGTGGTGGTGGTGGTAATGGTCCTGGTAGTGATGGTAGGGGTGATGGTGGTGGTGGTCCTGGTAGTGATGGTAGGGGTGGTGGTAATTATTGGTCCTGGTGGTGGTGGTGATGATGGTACCAGTGGTGGTGGTGGTGATGGTAAAGAAAAGCAGTAGCAGGATATAGGTGACTAATAATATTTCAAAGATAAAATTCTTACTAGAGAGTCTTTAAGAAATAGTTTGATCTGCACGGAGAGATAAAACATTAATAATGTGATGTGCATTGAAACAACTGCAAACATATATACACAAACTACATACATAGTACTTAACACAATAGTCTACTGAACTTATTGAGGAACCTATAGGAAAAATATATACAGCAGCAGCATTTGGTAGCCATTTTCTTTATAGTTTATAATGATATAATAAACCATGATGTTCTCCCTCAATATATTACCAGAGCCCTCATTATGTTGACGGAGCCCTCAACCCACCATAAATAATTATAATATAATAGCTGTCTCAGCGTAAAATAGGCCATAGGCCTGTCGCCGATTCTTAACATCGCAGAACATCCACAGCTTGTTGCGGTCTCAAACTCGCAACTCACTGCTACAATTCTGCTGTGCTTAACCGCCCGGCCTCCTTGCCGATTCTGACCAGAAACTGGCGCACAGAGCTGGGATCGAACCCGCGCCTCTCTGCGCCAATCCTGGTACTCCGGGGCCAAACTTGCTAAGTGAACGTAAGTACTAACGAATTCCATTCATTCCATTCATTTTCTTTTTGCAGTATTTAAAATTTAATTTGGAAGTACCCCTATCATAAATTTTAGCCGGCCAACGCAATTGTGAAAAACTAAATCACGGAATTTGTCCGGAAAAAATGACCGTCTGGCAACCCTGCTTAAAAAAAAAGTACAAAAAATTACATAATTGTACAAGATGAAGCAATTGTAGTCAACGTGTTAAAGGCCGTCAATGATTGGCTGATGAACTTACGATCTCTTAACTTTTTTTGAAAGTATAGGCCCTGAACTGTAACCTCTGGGCCTCAACCACATTGCATTGCCAAGATCAGGTTAATGGCCCAAAATGTGGTCAGTATTATTGAAAATTTTGGAAGTGCAGCCGTTGACAATATGTTTTGAACATCAATCAGACCTGTATAGCATCTATCCATTAAGCCAGCATCAGTCTGCCATCAGTAAACAGCCTACATAATTTTGTTTTAAATATTATGAGTCATAGTGACAGCAGAAAATTTTTTGTTGCCCTTCCTCAAGTTTATTTTTGAGTCTTATAGGCAGGGTTGGTGATTTTTTTCATTTCTTAATTTTTTTTGTATTTTTTTAATCAAAGAAATAAAAAAATCAATTATTTAAGTAGACCAGTAAGTATTTTGGATATCAGCATTATTACACAAAAAATTGATTAATATATTTAGTGAATGAGAAAATTAAAAATGAACAGATTCTAAAAAATCTCAGGGTTGCCACTTGTATGTTATGAGCTTCACAACAACAAACACAGGACAACCATGTAGCTTTGAGTACAATATCTATCCAACAAAACATTTATGTTTTGTTATCAAAACATTTATGTTTTATCAAAGCATAAATTTTTAACCTTGCTCTGTTTAAATTCTAACCTGCATATAACATAATTTAATCAATCAGCATATTTCTCCTAGGGAGTTGCACAAAACCTACTTTGCACCAACAGACCAAGGATAAAATATGACTTTTGTGACATTAAATTAAACAACTTTTGCTTAATTGCATCTGAGGTTTAGGTTTCAGAATTCATATAGAAAAGTTTAGTTCCAAAATCAATTGTCCTTCAACAAGTGGCCATTCTATCATAAGTCTATTTTACATAAAAGATGAATACAGATGAATGCTGGAATTTTCCTACAGGCAAGTTGCAACCAATTATTTATTTCCATAAATAAATTTGAACAGGCATTCAAAGAACATATAAAGATGTGTTCAAAGAGCATTTAGTGAGGTGTTCCAAGGAGCATTCAAGAAGATATTCAAAGAGCATTTACAGGGGTGTTCAAAAAAAAGATTTAAAGAGGTGTATTCAAAGAGCATTTAAAAAGGTGTATAAATAAAAAATGTTTAAAGAGGTATTCATAGGGCATTTAAAAAGGCATTCAAAATGCAACATGCTTGCAAGATCAGCAGAACCAAACTGGAAAGTCAGTCACAAGTCTCCTGTGAATGAGGCAAAAATACTCATATGTGCAGATAATTTAACCCAATTCTACAACCCTTGACTAATTTCTTGCATAAACGTTATTAAAGTCAACATTTCTAATTTTAAAGTTTAAATTTTAAATTATTAATTTTATAAACTAAGCTGTAAAGGGATATTTTCAAGCAAAATTTTTAAACAATTTATAATTGCCTTTTGTTTTTAAGATAAACATTCTGATGCTCCAAACTGAAATGAAGGCCAAAAGCACTCATGAATCAGACAAACACCCATGAATAGGACCAATTTTACTTGCTTCTAGTTCTATTGCCTTTATCTTTATCTAGAGAATTATGTAAAAAGACAAGGGAAACTGCCTATTTTTACAATTAATTTTTTATTAATTATCCAAGAAACAACTGTTTTTACCCACAATTCTACAAAAATTCTGCCTGATATTTCAAGTTGGTTGTTGCCTGACTGACGGTGATACCGTGATTGATGATGTGTTGCTAAAGAATCTTTGGCAACACATCATATTTTTATTATGTATATCTACTCCAGTACTCCTACTGTGATCAGTGTGATGAATATCTATAAGTCGATATCTATAAACCTAGACTATAAGGCTATAACCGGTAGTACTTAGGGACTATATGAATACCTATGTTTAATTCTCTGTCATTTATTATTTCAAAAGCTTTTAGTTTTCTGTCAAGTACCTATTTCTGATAAAGCAAATGAAATAATTGCAATTTGCAAGGATACCATATTAAATCATTAAAACGGTTAATTCTTTGTAGAAAATCAGAATGTGTATAAACACTTTAAACAGTGTATTTGTACATGAATATTTAAAAATGACTATAATACTTTTACTGAATAAAAATTATAGAAAATATCGGTAGTCAACCCATTTTTAAAGTTGAAACAAACCACGTGAACGAAAAATAGAGTTACATGTAAAGAAAAAAGATAAACATAGAGATAGTAGAAATCCTTTGTAGCGTGGGAGTGGGAAGACTCACGAAAAACTAACAGGGCTGCGACAGAAAGCAACTACAAACATTTGATCTACAATAATCAATAAAGAAATAGTAATACAGAATAAGTTTACGTTCAACCATCCATGATTTGCGTCTTGCATAACAAAAGAGAAGATGTGCAGTGTCACCGTAAATAATGGATTCAGCTTTTTGACTGCATCTACTTTATTGCTCGGGAACAAAAATTTATAAATAGCGATTCACAATATTACAAATATTATCAATAGGTGCGTATTTAATATTTGCTACATTTATGGTTACAATAAACTTTTAAATAGAATCACTGAACGAAATTTTCTACAAATGCTGCGTGTTTTGTATTCGACCTCGACTGAGACACAAGCTTTCGAACAAATAACAGCTGATTTCAAGGCTACAATCACAGCACATGGAGTTCTGCGTAGAGTGAATATAAAAATTAAAACAAACTTATATTCATTTTTGAAAAGAACTTTATCACTGACAGCCAATAGCACCGGAAAAATATTATGTTATATAATGAATTTCAGGTATGCTTCATTATTTGATACACCTTGACTTTATGTGATGACATTAACCAGTACGACAGATTTGCGACTGTGTTTGCAATCATAATCAATGATTGACTGAACAATACCCTCACTAAATCATAATAAAATTTGCTAAAATATTCCTAGCCAAATTTTTAGTTGGTTAAATATAAAAAATTGCTTTAAAAGACAACGAGCAATCCTAATCTCACAAGCAACGTTGTGGGACTGACTTATTTGGTACGTTTACATGAATATAAACCATAAATGCCAGTGTGTTACAGAATGATCATAACCTATATCGTTAAAATTTAATCATTCATTTGCATCGATTAAGAACTAATGAAAACTTGGAGTTTAGTTTCTTTTCAACTATTTACTTCGCCTTTTCGAATTATAAATTCTAATCGTAATTCGATACGTTGCGCAGATGGCATTACTGCGAACGTTGACCCTGGCTTTTTGTGACGCAAAAATCAATGTAAGTTTACCCGAAGGCAATCATGAATTGACACAAAAAAAAGTATTTTATTTTATACGTATGCCAAGTAATATATTTACTTTTGACGAGTTGATGTAACTTCAATAGATAAATAATTACCTATACAGATCTAAGTGTTATTGAAATAATGTAAGCAAAGTGAATGGAATATTGCTTAACGATTTTTTTAAGTATTACTTCAGACTGAAGTTAATTATTCGAACAAATTATTTCAGAAACTTCGAGTCAGAAACTCTATTGAATTTAGACACGCTGTAGTAGCTTGTCAGATAAAAACATTACAATATTAATATAGCATATATATGTAAGAACTACGATTTCGATCTCACTCAAAGTTGAAAATTTTATTCAAGTGTATCTATTTATTTATTATTATCTCGCTCAGTTTTATTTGAGGCAGAATTTATTTGCATAACAAACGATAATTTTTCTGGATTGCTCAGCCTTGAAGAAAACACGCACAGAGATGTATTTTATTTTTGTAGGTTAGATTTTAAATTATTTTCGAGCAGTTATGAATTATTATATAATAATGATAATTAATGGAATTCTATATAATAATAATGGAGTTCTAAACCGCAGGAATGTAAGGACAAAGAAAAAATTAATCACGAAAATTTATATTACAAAATGCGGAGAGGAG